CCCCCCCCCCGCCCATCGCTGCCACGTGACCCGCTGGCCGCCGGGGGCGAGGCCCCACATGTCACTTCTGCAGCGCGCTGGTGCTCCGGGTGCTGCACCTGTTCCGGGGGTGCAGGGCGGGGGTCTGCCGTGCGAGCCCCGTGCCCGCAGCAGGGATGCGCTCCTGCGAACTCTATGTTTGCTGCCCACCCGTGTGCAGCTCGCTTCCCGTCTTCACCACAAATGCTTTCTAGAATCCTCTTGTAACGAAGTACCTGCCCCCAAATCCTTGTCTCAGGCTCCGCAGGTGGAGGAAGACCGCCCACGGCACATGTCTACTATGATTGTTTTCAACATGGCAAACGCTGTAGCTCCTCCTTCCCCTCCTCACCTCTGACCAGACCCACTGCCTTAGTGATCTACTGTGTGTAACAAATTACCCCAAACGGAGGGGCTTAAAACAGCGAACAGTTATGACCGTGTCTGGGGAACAGGAAGTGGTGGGGCTTCACTGGGCTCTCTGCATCAGGGTCTCTCACGGGCTAGGTGCAGCTGTCGGCCGGGGCTGCCGTGTCCTCGGAAGGCTGGACAAGGGAAGGGAAGGATCCACTCCCAAGCTCGCGCCCGTGCTGCTGGCAGGACCCGGTTCCCTGATGGCTATTGAGGAGGTGGCCCTCAGCTCCTTGCCGAGCGGGCCTCTGCCTGCGGCAGCTCCCGGGACGGCAGCTTCATCAGAGCCAGAGAGAGAGACGGCGGGAGCAAGGTGGATGCTCCAGTCTTTTATGGCCTAATCTAGGAAGTGAGGTGCCATCAGCCTTGTCTTGTTCTCTTCTTAGGAGCGAGCCCCGAGGTCCCGCCCACACTCAAGGAGAAGGGGTGGATACAGGGTGTGGACCCCAGGAGCTAGGGACCCCAGGGGCTGTCTTGGAGTTTGTCCACTGATTTTCCCCCTCGTAGTGTATGGCCCCACCACCAGCTCAGTGGTTCAGGCCCCAGAAGGGGGTGCCCTCCTGGACCCTCTGTCTGCCGTCCTGTCCATGAGGCCCTCTATGCTGGCTCCAGATGGCCCTTCTGATCTCACCTCTGTCTCTCATCCTGGGCTGGCCCTGTTGGCTTTCCTTCTCTTCTTGGAAGCCCAGTCCCACCTTAGGGCCTTTGCACCTGCCAGTCCCTCTGCCTGGAATTCTCTGCCCCCAGATATCCACACGGCCCCTCCTTCAGGGTCTCCCCCCAGGCATCAGCTGGGGCTGCAGTCTCATCAAAAGGCTCCATCAGGGAAGGAAACACTTCCTTCTAGCCTTAGCTTCAACATGAGCTCCTTAAAGATGCATGCCCGGTCCACCACGACATTTAGCCCTGCACAGCAGAGTTAGCTCAGGGGGCCTGGGGTCTCCGATCCTGCACATTCCAAAGAAAGGCCTGCTCCTGGGAGGTCGTCTTTAACCCCTGGAGTGTCCGCCTGTGAGTGTCTGTATACCTAGGACCTCCACCAGGCCAGACGGCCTGTGCTCACAGTGAGATTTAGGGTGGGGGCCTGGGGCCTGACCTCTGGAGGGGCTGGAGCCTGAGGTCAGCCACACGGGTGGTCCGCGGAGCCTGTGTGACCGGCTCCCAGTGGAAGCCCTGGGCGCCCAGGCTCAGGTGGGTTTCCCTGGTTGGCGGTGCTCTGTGTGGAGAACTAAAAGCTGTCCGATGACTCCACTGGGAGGGGACGCTGGGAGCTGGCGCCGGGTCCCTTCTGGTCCTGCTCTGTTCTTCACTGACTTTAATCTGTATCCTTCCCCGTAATAAACTGTGACCGTGAGTATAACAGCTTTTCTGAGTCCCGTGAGTCCTGGTGAATCCTCCACCCCGAGGGTGGTCTTGGGGACCCCCAGCCCAAGCCCCACCCCCCAGCCACCCTCTTTAAGATCTTCATCGCCCTTGTTGCTGAATGGTATGTTCTTGCTCATTTGCTGTTTCCTATTTCCTGTCTCTCTGCTGATGGAGGGCTCCGAAGGCCAGGACTCGTCTGTCGTTCTCATGAGAGGCCGGAGAGCAGAGTGGTCAGGGGTCCGGCCCCGGCTCTGCCACTTTCTGCCGGTGTGGGCCTGAGCAGCAGCACCCCTCGCTGTGGCCAGTCCCCCGTCTGTAAGACGGGAACGGGAGCGCCCGTTCCCCTTTCACGGGGCCGTGGGGAGAGGGAGGGCTGATTTACTAATGCCCAGAAAGGCCTCTGCGAGTTCACCTCGGTCACTGTCGCCCCCGGAGCTAGAGCAGGGTCTGGAGGGCCAGTGGTCAGCGAAGAGCAGTTGAATTAAGGAGACTCCTCTGTAGCCTTTGACACGGAGAGGCAGGAGGGGACCAGCGACGCCCAGACGGCGGGAGAAGGAGGGAGCACAGAGGTCAGAGGACGAGAGGGGGCCCAGGGAGGGCCGTGTGGCTCTGGTCACACACAGGCCCTGCCGGGGCTCTTTAGGAGCCAGCCCACAGTGGCTACCAGGGAGGAGGTCTGGAGGGGCAGAGCCAGGCAGGGAGGGCGAGGGCGGGGGAGGCCAGATCCTGCGGTCAGGGCTCCTAGGAGGAAATGTGTGGGCGGCCTGGGGTCAGCGCAGGGAGCCGGGGCTGTGAGGGGGCAGGCGGCAGCCGGTCTGGCCCGGCTGGAGGATGCCTGCAGAGGCCGCTGGGACACAGCCCTGCTCCCCCCGGGGGGAATGTGCTCCCCTCCCCACCCCCGGCCTCTAGGCTTTCCCACACAAGGCTTTCGGGGTGCTCATGCTATGTGAGCTCAGGACAAAGGACTCAGAGGCACAGGGGCTGGCTTCCCCAGGGAGGAGATGTGTTGGAATCGAGGCTGAAAGGAAGGGAACAGAGCCAGAGGGGGCCGCGGGAGGAGTGCCTGGCTCCGCGCAGCCTCGGCCCCAGCGGCGCCCACCGCCAGAGCTCTCAAGTCAGGGCCATGCTCGGCGGTGAGGGCCACTGCGGACGCCTTGCAACCGGGCACCTCCCTCCACCGCTCTGGGCCTCTGTTTCATTCCTAGTGGCCCCGACACTCGGGTCAAAATACTTGGAGTCGTCCATGTCTCTCTCTGTCTCTGTCCTCCGAGTCCCCTCCCCGAGTCAGCAAACCCTGAGGGCACTACTTTCAACATCTTACCAGAATCCACTCACTTTTCACTTCCTCCATGGCCCCACCCTGGACCAGCTCTGTCGCCTCCCACTGGGACTAGTGCAGTCACCTCTACTCTGGTCTTCCTGCTCCCGCTCTCGCCCCCCTACAGGCTGGCCCCCAACAGCGGCCAGAGGGGCCCTTGAACCCGTGAGTCAGGTCCCAACCCTCCTCGGCTCAAGAACCCTCCGTGGCTCCCATCTCACTCAGAGCAAAAGCCAAAGTCCTCCCTGTGACCCACAAGGCTCTGCACGCTCTGCCCCGTCCCCTCCCTGCCCTCACCTCCTCCTGCTCTCCCCCGCGTTATTCCCTCCAGCCCCACTGGCCTCCTCACTGTTCCTGGCAAGCTCCTACACCAGGGCCTTTGCACTTACAGTTCCCTCTGCCTGGTACCCTCCTCCCCTCGATCTCTACACGGCGCCCTCCTCGCCTCCTTCAGGTCTTTACTCAAATGTCACCTCTGACCTCCGACTTAAAATTGCACTCTCCCCGTGCCTACTTAATGTTTCATAACACATCACCATCGATGCTCTGTCGATTTTCCTTCTTGGTCTTGCTGCCTGCCTGTCTCCCCGTGAGAATGTCGGCCCCACGAGGGCAGGGCTTCGTCTCTGCTAGGCTCCCTGCTGTGGGCCCAGGGCTCAGAGCAGGAGCTGCCACCGCAGCACTTGCTGATTTAATCCACTGAATGGTGATAAGCCCATCTGTGGATTGTGGGGACCACTTTTTCAATAGCTTTATTGAGGCGTAATTTACAGGGCATGTAATTTGCCTCTTGTGTGCGTGCAGTTAGACGATTTTTAGTAAATTTACCAAGTTGTGCAAGCATCACCGCCAGCCGGTGTTCGAGAAGACTTTCCCCACCCCCAGAGCTCTCGTGTTCTCCTTTGTTCTCCGCCATCTTGCTCTCCTGTCCCGCCCAGGCAACACTGCTTTGCTTTTCGTCTTTATAGCTTTGCCTTTTGTAGACATTTCACAAAAATGAAATCATACAAAGTATAGTATTTTGTGTCTGGCTTCTTTTATTCAGTATAATATATTTTTTTTCTTTTTTAAAAATTATTTTACTGAGGTCATATTGGCTTATAACATTGTGTAAATTTCAGGTGTCTGTTATTATATTTCAGTTTCTGAATATTGAGTATAATATTTTTGAGGTTCATCCACATTGCTGTGTTTATCAATGTTTGTTCTTTTTCACTGGTGAGTAGTATTCCCCTGTATGGCTGTACCACATTCTGTGTATCCAGTCACCTGTTGGTGGATATTTGAGTTGTCGTCACCTTTTGGCTATTGTGAATAATGCTGCTGTGAACACTCAGGGACAAGTTTTTGTGGGGGTGTATGCTCTCATTTCTGGATCACATGGTAATTATCCATTTAATTTTTTAAGAAACTGCCAGGCTGCCCTTACACCCCGCCAGGCGTGGCTGAGCATTGCAGCCCCTCCAGATCCTCGCTGTCGGTCTGTGTAATTTCAGCTCTTCTGGAGGGTGTGCCATGCTCCCTCGTTGTGGTTTTGACTTGCATTTCTCTAACCGCTGATGACATAGAGTATCTTTTTCTCCTTATTTGCCATCCAGACATCCTCTTTGCTGAAGTGTCTGTTCAAATCCTTTGCCTGTCTTTAATTTTCTTATTATTCAATTTTTTAAAAAATTATTTTTGGGCGGCCGGACCGGTGGTGTAGTGGTTAAGTGCGTGCACTTCGCTTCAGCGGCCCGGGGTTCACAGGTTTGGATCCCGGGTGCACACTGATGCA